GTATACTTTAAGTATAACAGTAGTAAACTTTGAGTACACAACTAGTTTCCATCAATATTTTTAGCTTGTACTGCAACTATACTAAAAGTGAACTTATAGGTATACTGATAGTTTACTAATTAAATACTTGTAGTAGCATTTTAGTACACTTTAAGTATAGTCTCAGTAAACTACTAGTTTAGTAGTTTTATACTGCAAGTATACTCTTAAGTTTTCTTTAAGTGAACTTTACATCATACTTTAAGTATACTACTATGTCCCTATTTAGGTATTACTTTGTATATATTTTGTTATATGAATATCTGAACACACAAAACATCAAAAGCAAGAACAGGGTATCTGCTTGTAAACAAAAACATTTTATTCTAGCTTCATGCATTTTTTTAAACACTTGAATGTGGGTAAGTTTCATAAATAAAAAATAAAGAAATAAACAACATTTTGAACAAAAAGCTGAAAAAAAGACTGAATTGGATTCAGAATGATAATCAAAACGTAGATAGAATCTATTAACACCCCAAAGCTTGACGGTCATAATTTCCTCTTCATTGGTCGACATTTTATTCCATAACGTTACACAGTTTTGATGCTGTTTTATGTCTGATGATCTGTTACATGTGGAAGCGTTTCAGTTTCTTCTTCACTTGTGTTTTTTTGGATATTCTATACAGAAGATGTGTACTAGCGCCCCCTACCGTATAACAATGAAAACACGGATTCTCGGAGCACAAGTATAGCTCAAATATATTGAGACTTTTTCTAAGTATAAGTCAAGTATACTTAAATGGCATTTTAAGTATATTTCTGAGAAGTACATAAAGCCCATTTCTGAGAAGTACATAAAAAGTAGACTATTTTTAATTTAAAAGAAGTATAGGCCTACTAATAGCACACTTGAATAAACTTCTTTTTCCGTAAGGGATGTTAGGTCACATGCTCTCAAGGCTCCATAGTGAGTTAATTTTAGACTAGAAAATACATATAAATTGAAGTTATAAAAAAATATAATTGTACATCCAAATGTGTTTTCTGAATTTTTTGTCATTTTTAATGCACTTTTATAAAAACAATAACTCAGAGACCAAAAAATATGAGTGTCATGCATAACTGACAAGTACTATTATGGGATGCATATTTTGTGTAGCTGGCACTATTGACCAGCATTGGCAGGCAGTATAATAGCCTTTATGCATGTGTTTTAGGTTCATTTTTGTAAGATTTTTGTAAGATGGAGAGACAAATCTGTACTTATTAAGTATTGATGATAGTGATAAGAGTGCATCAGAAAATCAGGTTGTTGGAGTAAGAAAATAAGTTGTTGAGGACCAAGGAGGATAGAAGCAACGAGGGTAAGGGCAGTGATGAAGAATAGGTTTTTATAGAAGTTAGGCATTTGGGTACATTATTGTATGCCAGTTTGAAAGATGTGATTTATACAACAACCAGAGGTCAGGAAAGATGCCAATGTCTATACTGACAGTGACAGGCAGCAATGCTCCAATGACGACTGCACAAGTCAAAATCTACTTGCGTGTGGGATGTGTGAGGTACACTGAAAAAGAAGAATCTTGTACACTTGTGCTATGATAATTGTTTTGAAATGCCAAGATGAAACACAATGTTAAAGTTGTTTTAATCCTTTTGAAGCACTAAGATATGGTTTTCAGGCAGTGAAATTGCATCCGAATTTGTGTCAAGTTTTAGACATTTTCAGTGACTTCCAAATGAAATATAGCAGCACAAGAAAAAAAATTTAATGTTCATAAAGATTTTTAATGTTTTTTGAAACAGTAAGACCTTTTCACTTCTATTCAGATAGTGAAAAAGCATTTGATTGTGTGTAAAATTTCAGACAATTTGCCAAAAATAATTTACCCTAATGGGATAATGTCAGTTATAAATGATGGAACCTTAAACAAAAGGTCAAAGGTCAGATGTAGAAAGCAAAGTTTAGGAAATTATTTTACTCCTAAATACAGGTGCATCTCAATAAATTAGAATGTCGTGGAAAAGTTAATTTATTTCAGTAATTCAACTCAAATTGTGAAACTCGTGTATTAAATAAATTCAATGCACACAGACTGAAGTAGTTTAAGTCTTTGGTTCTTTTAATTGTGATGATTTTGGCTCAATGCACCTGTATATGCAATATATAAAGTCAATTATTGTTTCAAGCTGTGAATTCACAATTCGTCCCATAGAGGGATAAAATATATAAATACAGTATATCTCCTGTGGAAGTTGACTCAAGACCATCAAATTTTCGTCCAGTCATTGCATGTACTACCTGCATGTCGACCTATGTATTTGAATACTTCTGTGCAGCCAATAGCGAGAGTTTGGGGCATGGTTACGGTAGCAGGCTAATCCTTCTGGAAAAAGAAGTGCAAGCAAAATTCAAAGATTTGCCAAAATATGCAGAGACAACGAGGTACAACAAGGATAAACACTGGCAGAGTTTTTACAAGATGGAAAAACTTGAAGGAATTTCAATCAATACGACGAACTTGCGGAGTTTCTTCTCGTCAGGTAAGCTAAACGTTAAAGGTATTCCTAATATGTTGGACCTTACTTTTACATGTTTTCAGGGGCGTTTGCAAAGACTGTTTGAAAACTAGCTTAATTTTTGTAGTCTGGCTTAGTGACACTAGTAGCGCAGAAACTGCCTACCCTACCTTAATTTTCATTCAAAAATAATCGCATTCGGGGTGACATGAGGATGAATAAATTATTTAAAATTGTAATGAGTAAATGATTCATTACATTTTTCTGTGCAGCTTTAAACATGTAACCACATCTCATATCAAAGCATATTTACACAATGTAAATACTGTAGTTATTTGTATAATCGGCAGTAATAATAAACCTTTTCCCCACTATCACACTGAAAATGTCAGTAATGACGTAGCTATTAATGGCATTAATGGCAGACAAATATTATAGGATTGAGGATATTTGAAGTGGTCACCTTTATTAAAAGGCTCATATTATTAGTCAAATCATGTTTTGCTTTAAAAATAATGTCAACATGTAGTTGACAACATACGTGGTTTCACAACATGGTTTCAGGCTTACTGTATGACCATGCAGTCAGAGTTTTGCTCCCACCCTGATCAACTCACCTGCTTGTTCACGTTTGATCAAGGTTTGGAGGTCAATAATTATAAAATACGTTAGCTCTCTTGTTACAGAGAGAAATATCTTGCTACAGATAGAAACACTAGAAATAAAAAAAAAGTGTTTGATTGATCAGAAGCAAAACTATGAGATATTAATTCCTTGCAGTTGCAACTTTTGGACGCTAGGATCTCTTCAGTGTGACTCAGTATCTCTGGGAAGTATCAGACAAGATATGTTAGTACAAGATTCACACAAGAGTGAAAACCTGCAGAATTGTCTTATCTAGATTAAAATAAGTACTAAAATAAAGGTTTTAAGTCATTCACCTGGTCTAGTTCCACACTGACCACTGTAGAGTCGTAGTTGTTGTTGCAGGTGGCTTTGCAGGCAAATGCTGAGATACAGATGGAGATGATGAACTGAAGGATGGAGAACACCAGCAATATTCCAATGATCCCAAAACCAAATCTCTAAATAAACACATTCAACATGCACATATATGAAAGCAGTTCCACAAATAACATCCTTGCAATTATGTAGTTTATCAAAAATTATATTGAAAAATTATATTATACAGGAAACAGTTATTCTGATGATAAGGGTATGTAACACAAATTTACACTATGTCATCATTTACTTGAAATGCAAAAGAAGCAATTTTGAAAACGGCTATAATGCAATTGCAATGAATAAAGCTTGAGCTTTCACACTTCAAAAATTACAATTAATAAATACATAAATAACAAAACAAAGCTTTGTCAAATGGGTTCATACAACCTGTGCATTATATTCCGAATTTTTTCAAATCATCCAACAGCTTTATGTGAGGAACAAACTGAGGATTATGTCAAGATTTTAAGTGATTAATGATTTAAAAGTAAATGATGACTATCTTAATTTTTGGGTGCACTTTTAAGTAAATAAAACAGCAAATGCTAGCTGAAATACAAATTAAAACAAAATATTGCACATTTAGTACCTCAGTATTTATACAGTTATGAATATTGTAACAGCTTCGAGGGTGCAGTGGGCCTATTCTTATTTCATTGCCGGTCAGAAGAATGGCTATTGCTGAAGTTATGGCACTGAACACATTCATTCCATGAGAGGCTTTCACCTACAGGGAGAAAAGTAATACAATTGTAAAGTAATAAGTAAAGTAACAAGTTTGATATCTTTATCTGTTAGTGGTAAAAGGATGAAAGCTTATTGTGCTAAAAAGCTGAGAGTAATGTCTGAGAAGAAGCATCAGCTACACAGTTTGTTGCTGGCTGTACTTTGGTCTTTCTCTTGCAGAAACATAAATACATACATATATGTGACCCTGGACCACAAAACCAGTCATAAGGGTCAATATTTTGAAATTGAGATTTATACATATTCTGAAAGCTGAATAAATAGGCTTTCTATTGATGTATGGTTTGTTAGGACAGGACAGTATTTGAACATCACCTTTAAAGTTGTCCAAATGAAGTTCTTAGCAATGCATATTACTAATCAAAAATGAAGTTTTGATATATTTACGGTAGGAAATTTCATGGAACATGATCTTTACTTAATATCCTAATGATTTTTGGCATAAAAGAAAAATCGATAATTTTGACCCATACAATGTTTTTTTTGGCTATTGCTAAAAATATACCCAAGCGACTTAAGACTGGTTTTGTGGTCCAGGGTCACACACCCATTGTACCCTATTACATGTAGTCTTTACTCAAAGAACAGATGATTGAAGGGGCTTTGTGCTTACAGAAACTTGTAACTATGTTAAATATCAGATGAGTTTGGCAAGGTCAGTTGTGCACCTGATGTAAATCTCGATCGAGAACCTACCACCAGTATAAAGCCACAATGAGGGCTTTACTGCTAACAATTGACGATGTCGGGACTGCTGCTCAATTGTTGACAACATGTGGTGATTTAAATGGCTCAACAATTTCTTGAGTAATGTAAATAATGATGTACAAATAAGTAGTGACAGTACATTATACATACCACACACGGATGAAGTTTATTCTGCGCAGCAACAGACAGAGATCCAGCACTGATGTACTGAGAGAAAAACATAAAACATTTTAAAATTCATACTGGAAATTAAAAATAAAAGGGAAATAAATCAAAGCTATTAAATGAAACTTACAATGAAGGATCCCCAGTAGGTGATGCCACTAATGACAGAAATAGTAGGAAATCTGTAGAAATTTGCGGAGAGTACAATACCAAGTAAAAAGACCATCACTCCAGTCATTATCTGTACAGTCTAGAGAGCAGATAAGGTAAGGTGTTTTATTTATGATGGCCTAGCATTTATGTTTAGAGACACAAAAGTGGAAGCTATTGATTTTTAATGCACTAAAGGGAATCAGGTCAACACATATCTTTGCACTTTGCACTTACAACAAGAGACTTCTGTCATTTTAAGTGATCTAGAAGAAACAAATTCTAAGAATATTCCCAAAACCACACATCATTGTAATTCATCATTAAATGCATTACCCCCAGTGCTTTTGGCTGTGCTTTGAAAAATCCTTTAAGAGCCGCATTGTGATTTGTTCCTCTGGCCTCCTGTCCATCAAAATAAAAAGCACTGTCTTTTGCCTGTGGATTTATTTGGATGACAACTGTAGCTTTGTCGGTTGAGAGAACCTCACAGGTTTCCATTCTAAGTTGAGTTTTGGATTTCACCTGTAATTAAGCATTAAATGTAAATTAATAATAACTATTAATAACATGATTTAATATGTACATTAATACAGATTTTTTTGGCTTTTCATGTACATCTACATATATATTTCATGTACATATACATGTATGCACTATAATAAGAAAAAAAACATCAATGTTAATTCATGCATGAAATATTTGACCTGAAATGAGTTGTGTTGATGTGGATGTCTGATCAATCTTATGGTGTATCTTTGTGTGTATGGACTGTGCAGAACCGCTAAGGAGGAGCTTGTGTCATATGAGCTTGCTTCATACTTTTAAAGATTATGTTGATGTGCTTTACATAAAGATAAAAAGTACCATAAACTATGGGAATTGATTGAAACAAAAATATGCATGATTAAAGGCAAAATCAGACGTGTCTGTGTTTCAAAACACACTAATTCTGTTTTTTAATTTTGCATTTTTTTTTTTTTTGTATATTTTTCAGTCAAGTCACCTTTATACTGCATTATAAAATATAGATTTTTCTCTAAGCAGCTTCATACTATTAAACAGGAAAGTAACAGAATCAATGAGGCAAATCTAAATTCTGCTGTAAAGCAGCCCTAACAAAACAAAAACAAATGTCATTATTTAGCTCAATGCAGTTTTGTGTTCAGTTCTATAACTGTGTAAAATTCACTTATAACAAAATATGAGTGATGTGTAACATTAATGAGAGAGACACTGAAGGTATTATTTTCATTTTTTTCCCCCTCAAAAAATGTTCCACACTGCAGACTTTAACTGATAAAATGTACTTGTTTAATACATTCAGCATTACCTTGAATGCAGTATAACTTGCTCTGGAAAAGAATAATTTAATCTAATACTAAATAAGGATGTCTTGTTTTGAATGAGTTCAGACAGAATGCCCTTTTACACCAATCAGGTTACAGTTTACCACTGTGGTCGCTTGATATTTCCTTTCCATTCCACTAGCTGTAACTTTGCTCTTGTTGACAGTGGGAAGAGATTGCTTTATCTGACATGAGCAGACTGCAGTAATGCAGTACTTCAGAGGTTTTAGGATTCCATTTCATGAGCAAACTGTACTGTATAAAATTGCAAGGAATTTACAGGATTAAAGAGTAGCCTATTTTACAATAAATGACTGTAGTCAGACATTTACTGTGTAACCAGTGCATTCTGGGTCATTTTCTTACAAATGACTGTGAATGAGCAGCAGAATGATGCTAACATCACAGTAATTTACTGTTCTTGTTTTACTGTGAAATCACATTAAAGTTGTCTTTAACTGTGCCACTGTGAGAAATTTACTCGTTTACTACTGTAATTCTTTTTAAAGTCACAGTAATCGTGGTTAATTATTAGTATTTATTTGGGATCTTGGACCATTCATGTTCATATTTAAATTTCTGATAGTCACGTCAGAAGTATGACAAATGAAAACATTTGTCAAGATGGTGACAAGCTAGAATATAAAATAAAATGTTTGCCTGATTTTAAGGTAGTTGAACTATTCTTAACATGAACATTAAGATTTTATTTTAGCATTATTTAAGCATGAAGATTAATCAACAACTTATTCATAACTGTTTGTGGATGGATCTTACAGTGAAACAACTGCTGAGCACAAATTTCAATAGCACAAATAAAACCAAAAAGAATTCACAAAAAAAAACAAAAAACTATTCATTCTGCATTGCATGCTAGGTGCCTGGGTGGGTACCACTGTATATACATTGTGTATACACAATTGGTGAACTTAACAGTTGACTGAATTAACACCGAACTGACGTAAGCTGTATAAAGACACTGCTTTACAGCAGAATTTGAATTTGCTACTACTGCTTTGACACAATGTGTACTGTATAAAGTGTTATGAAGGTGATTGAACTGTACGCATATTCAGTAATATATTTACAAAGTACTGTAATACATATTTACGTGTATTTATATTAAAAATGTATTTGTTTTTTGCAGACTTGGTCTGAAGATTTGGTAAATACTGTAAGTGAATGGTTTCACAGGCTGTGCCTCAAGCAAAACTGTACGTTTAAGTGCCCAGGTGAAAAAGACGTAGTATTAAATGTATTAAAAATATACTTGAAACTGGTTTAACATTTGAACTTTTACATTAAACTTTCCAGATAAACAAGCAAGAACAGAATGAGGGTCACTGGTTATGACACAAACAATGCCTTGAGACAATCTTTGCAAAAAAAACTAGTCAAGAACTGTGTGATCATAATGAATACATTTTTTACAATAACGTCTGGTTTCCCATAACATCCTCTTCTACAGTCCACTGAATCAACAAAAAAATGTGTTTTGTTAGAAGAAGTGGTTATGTGTGGTTATTAGGGTAACTTCCTTTCTCACTAATTCATCCTAACATATCTGGTGACATTTCTCAGTTTTGCAACACCATAACTACATGTGGTTTCACTGGACAGAGGTTATCAGTTAAGACCAGCTGGAAACAATAACACCGGAGGGTCAATGAATCTAGCAAGAATATTGGGAAAATTGGCCTCATACTTCTACTTCAGTTAAGATCCCATGTTTTGTCATGTATTATTTTTCTTTTGCACATTTTTATGTGCCCAAGCTTGTTTCCTGATCTAGCTTTCTAGATTTAGCTAAAAATGTTGTGAAGTGCGTATAAATAGTAGGCCCTACGCCAAACAAAAACAAAAACTTGTGGTATTGATACGCAAAAATTTACTTTGGCGTGTATATGCTACGCAATGGGTAGGATTAGGGTTGTGGGGTAGATGCGTATCATATGTACGTGAAAACTGCGTATCATATGCATGCCAACAAATTTCGTATCATATGCTCGCGAAAACTGCGTATTATATGCACGCCAAACACATGCGTATCATTATGCACGCCAAAGTCCATTTTTGCATATCAATACCACAAGTTTTTGTTTTTATTTGGCGTACTATTTATACGCATTTTCATGAGACCGGGCTCCACTCTAATATATAAATTTATATATTAGTGAAAACTCTTTTTAATCTATTTGACAATTTATATGTTTATGTATTGTTTTATTATTAGCCTACAACATAATTACAGCTGTGTCCTCGTAAACCAAATGGCTTCAAAAACATAATACAGAGTGTTTTTGATATTCAAAAACTAAAAAAAAAAAAATTCATCCCTGAGAAGTAACAGACAAGATATTTTAGTTCACAAGAGACTCCAACAGAAAACTAACAGTTAAACTTCATTTGTATGTATTTTTTGTACTGGTTTAGGCTAAAACGAACAAGACAAAACATGTACCTTTGTCAACAATCAAGTCTTTTGAATTCTTTATTTTCAGTTCTCAAATTACATCAGTCAGTATACTGGTCTCTAACGAGAACAGATCTCTCTGTGTGTGTGTACAGGTTTATGTGACCCTACTATTCAAAATGTCCTCACAATGTAGTGAAACCCATTGAACACAGTATAGTGAGCTATAGATTAAAAGGCTTATAAAGAACCTTTTAAGTCAAACATGTAATAGAATACATCTTAACTGAAGATGAGGCCAGTTTTACCAGGAATTATATAATATGCACAAATATTCTTGCTCTGTTGTTACAGATTTATTCATTGGCTTCCAGCAGGTATTGATAACCTCTGTCCAGTGAAACCACAGTTGTAGTGTTGCAAAACTGAGAAATGTCACCAGTTGTTCTGTTAGGATGAATTAGTAGGAAGCTCCCCTAACCACACACAACCACTTCTTCTAACAAAACATGTTTGTTTGTTTTTTTGTATGTATTTCAAACATTTTTCAATGTAGTGTAGAAAAGGATATAACAAATATCAAAACAGACATTATTGGATAAATATTTTAATCATGAAGCCACAAGTTCTTGACTAGTTTTTTTTCTCCACATTGTCGTCTCATAACCAGTGACCCTCATGAAGTTTTGACCATCCTAGTGTTTTTTTTCTTTTTCAAAATAGTTTTTCTATCCTTGCTTGTTTATGTGGACAGTTGGTGTTTAATATAAATGTTGAAATGTTTTTACTTGAAAACCAATTCACTTTTTTTTCTTTTCCCGCATTTCTCATCTGCCCTAGCTCGTTTCCTAATTTCTAACCTGGCATTGTATACCAAAAATATTGTTGGCTTTGTGATGAATTGCTAATGTTCCTGTATTGTAAGTCGCTTTGGAAAAAAGCATCTGCAGAATGCATAAATGTACATCTGCTTTTTCCAAAGTGACATAAAAATAGGATACTATTTTTATATACAGCTAGTTATATATCTAGCTGTATACAAAAACAAAGTCTATGGAATGGCCCAATTTAGTATTAAGTAAATACACTAAGTACTCACCATTAAGTAACTGTGCGTGTGTGTGTGTGTGTGTGTGTGTGTGTGTGTGTGTGTGTGTGTGTGTGTGTGTGTGTGTGTGTGTGTGTGTGTGTGTGTGTGTGTGTGTGTGTGTGTGTGTGTGTGTGTGTGTGTGTGTGTGTGTGTGTGTGTGTGTGTGTGTGTGTGTGTGTGTGTGTGTGTGTGTGTGTGTGTGTGTGTGTGTGTGTGTGTGTGTGTGTGTGTG